AGAAATATTCCTGCCGCACGGGCTATAATTGTTTAAGAAATTCAAACTCCGCCATCGTTAGGGTGTAACGGTGATATAATAATTATTTTTTTTAAATCGGATAAAAATTATGACCACTATAGGGTCCACAAGCTAAAAACGCGATATTTCGCACAATCAGGGGCTATAATTCAGGAAGTTACGGTCCAATATGTGCGAATATCGAAAGGAACCAAGATCTTTGGGTTTTAAACTTACATTTCAAGTTTTAACAAAATCGGATAACCAGCGGCTGCCAGGCAGGATACGCCCACATTTTCGAGAGATGGATAGAGAACAAGCTAAAAAGAAAGTGATTTATCCTACAATCAAGGGCCATAATTCAGGAAATTACAATTCGATATGTGCAAATATCGAAAGGAACCGTGATCTTTGGGTTATAAACTTACATTTCAAGTTTCAACAAAATCAGATAACCAGCGGCTGCCTGGCAGGATACGCCCACATTTTCGTGAGATGGACAGAGAACAAGCTAAAAAGAAAGCGATTTTTCGTACAATCAGGGGCCATAATGCAGGAAGTTACGGTCCGATATGCACGAATATCGAAAGGAACCAAGATCTTTGGATTATAAACTAACATTTCAAGTTTCAACAAAATCGGATAAAAATTGTGACCTCTATAGGGTCCACAACCTTGATATACCATATTATTACGCTATTTGAGAACGAACGGCGGCCATTTTGTCTATCAATTTTGGGCCGATCTTCACGAAATTCGAGCTCAGCATCCTTAGGGTGTAACGGTGATATAATAATACGTTTTTTTAAATCGGATAAAAATTATGACCTCTATAGGGTCCACAAGCTAAAAACGCGATTTTTCGTACAATTAGGGGCCATAATTCAGGAAGTTAAGGTCCGATATGCGCGAATATCGAAAGGAACCGAGATCTTTGGGTTATCAACTTACATTTCAAGTTTCAACAAAATTGGATAAAAATTGTGACCTCTATAGTGTCCACAAGCCAAAAATGTGATTTTTCGTACAAACAGAGGCCATAATCCATGAAGTTTCAATCCGATACATGCCAATATCGAAAGCAGCTGAGATCTTTTGGAGATAAACCTATATTTCAAGTTTTGTCAAAATCGGATAAGAATTGTGACCTGTAGAGTATCCACAAGCAAATTGTGGACGGACGTCCGGATGGACAGGGGCGACAACAATATACATCCACATGAAAGTGTGGGCGTATAAAAAATATTTATCAAGCTAAATAAATTTGTATTTTTAATGAACCTAAATATCTTGCCTTTCATTGCCTATAATTTTTTTTCTGGTCAGATTTTAATAAATTTTAAATTAAATTCTATGGTGTGGGACGGAAAAGATTAAATTGTTGTCACTTAAATTATGTTAAAAATTGAAATTATCTGAAACTTGTTTATGCTTTACTAACAGTCCACTAATCAAATATTTATATAAGTTTTCTTTTAAATTCCTTTTAACTTATTTTTTTTCAATTTTATTTCAAAATTTCTGTCCCACACTTTTTTGCTTATAGAAAGTTTTATATTTCCTATAATTAATTTTATAAAAAAACTGAAATGAAATGAAATGTGGTTTTATGGCACGTCAGCTCCAACTGGGCTATATTGCGCCAAACATATGGTGATTTATGCGAGACAAGTTAAATAAATATCACAGAAAAAGTATTATATGCATAAATAAAAACAATATCACAGTAACTAAAATTAAAAATGAAATAAACCTTTTATGCATATTAATATTTAAAATACAAAAATGAAGTGATAAATATACAATTAAAATTTATGATAAAAACATGTCTCTTTTAAAAATTCTAGTATGTTACAATATAAACCCGGTTGGGCAAATAGATGACGTAGAGACTGGCAACAGTAATATTTCGATCTTATGTTCTTGAGATGATTGCACTCAATCAAGATGTGTTTTACTGTCAAAGGAACATAACAGTGAACACATTCTGGTTGAGAATATGAGTTAAAGATAGGTTGCCAGGCAATAAAACATACGCCCACAGCAGCTATATCGTCTGAGCAGTCAACAAGAGTTGTCGCATATTTTTACTTTTTTAGGTAATGAAACATTTATAATACATTAAAATCTGATTCAGAGTAACAACTCATTAAGTAATTATCAGAAAACCATTAGAATTTGTTTGGTTTTTATAAAATTCTGTAACTTCTGTCCCATGCTAATGTTTAGTATACAAAACTTTTAATATCATGGATTTAGCTGTTCAAGTCATAAAGATTCATTGAAAATCAATATACTTGTTCGTCTCAAGACCTTAAACTCTGTGTACCAATCTGAAGTCAATCGGATGATAACTTTAGCCTCTAGAGCGTCACAAGATTTTTCAAAGTGATCAAGGGCCATAACTCTGGCAGTAATTATCCGAAATCGTTGAAAATCAGTAGGCTTCTTCGTCTCATGACTTCAAAAACTGTGTATAAATTTAAAGTCAATCGGATATTAACTTTAGCCTCTACAGCGTCCACAAGATTTTTCAAAGTGATCAAGGGCCATAACTCTGGCAGTAATTATCGGAAATCGCTGAAAATCAATAGGCTTCTTCATCTCATGACCTTAAGCACTGTGTATAAATTTGAAGTCAATCGGATATTAACTTTGACCTCTAGAGCATCCACAAGATTTTTTGAAGTGATCAAGGCCCATAACTCTGACAGTAATTATCAGAAATCGGTGAAAATCAATAGGCTTCTTAGTCTCAGGACCTTAAACACTGTGTATAAATTTGAAGTCAATCGGATATTAACTTTGACCTCTGTAATTATCGGAAATCAGTGAAAATCAATAGGCTTCTTTGTCTCATGACCTTAAACACTGTGTATAAATTTGAAGTCAATCGGATATTAACTTTGACCTCTAGAGCGTCCACAAGATTTTTTGAAGTGATCAAGGCCCATAACTCTGGCAGTAATTATCGGAAATTGCTGAAAATCAATAGGCTTCTTCGTCTCATGACCTTACACACTGTTTATAAATTTAAAGTCAATCGGATATTAACTTTAGCCTCTAGAGCGTCTACAAGCAATTGTGGACGCCGGACTGACGGACAGACGGACGGACGGGGGCGACGACAATATACGACCACATTTCAATGTGGGCGTATAAAAAGGTATGACCAATGCGAGAGCGAAACAAAACAACTTCATCCCTCCTGTTGGTTCTATAGGAATTGGGCCAATCTTCTAGGAGAGGCTTAATGTGATGAAGTTTGCTTGTGCCTGCAAGATACCAAGACCGTTGCCAGCGGCCATATATAAAAGAATTAATGGGGGATTTAAAATCTGTGAATGATAAAAGGAATTTTGAAATGGGAAGATCTAAAGCAGACTTGGCAGCTAAGTCTGCCTGATCATTCCCTTTAATGTCAACATGACTGGGGAGCCAGCAAAGGACTGTGTCCTTGCTGATAAATTCATGTGATAGTAGCAGACGATAAATGTCTGCTACAAGCTGTTTATTATTTGTTGCTTGTAAAGAGGACAGAGAATCAGTAAATATAACATGTTTTAAAGTAGAAGATGATTGAATGAACTCCAAAGCCTGAAAGATGGCCTGGAGTTCAGCAGTAAATATGGAAGCAGCAGGTGGAAGTCTGGCAGAAATGATTCCAGATGGTATGACGGTAGCCGAAGCTACCCGATCACCATCTTTGGAACCATCTGTGTAAATGGGAGCATAATCACCATATTTAGACCTCAGCTGTCGAAAGAGAGACTGAAACACCGTGGAACTAGTGTCTTTCTTTTTGTTTTTTGTTAGATCTAAATCGATCTTTGGAGACGATATAGTCCAGGGTGGAGTACTAAACAAAGGGATATTCGCAATACTGTCATGACTGATGCCGGCCTCTGACAAAAGGGGTTGGATGCGAATACCGAATGATGGAATAACATTAGTTCTAAAGTATACCATACTATCAATGAATTGATCAATAAAAGTAGTGGACACTTGTTCTTTGAAAACTTGTAATTTAAAAACCTATGCCCAATTAAAAATTTATTCCGTCCCACACCAGAAAAATTTCTGTCCTACAACCATTATAAGGGAGGTAACTCACTCACTTTTGACACTAGATGGGGTTGGAATTGCATTGCATCACCTTTTCTGTGTTCTGAAGGTTAAAGTTACGGTCCGATATGCGCCAAAATCGTAAGAAAACGAGATCTTTGGGTTATAAACTTACATTTCAAGTTTCAACAAAATTGGATAAAAATTGTGACCTCTATAGGGTCGACAACCTTGATATACCATATTTTTACGCTATTTGAGAACGAATGGCAGCCATTTTGTCTGTCAATTTTGGGCCGATTTTCACGAAATTCGGACTCAGCGGTCCTTAGGGTGCAACGGTGATATAATAATACGTTTTTTTAAATCGGATAAAAATTATGACCTCTATAGGGTCCACAAGCTAAAAACGTGATTTTTCGTACCATCAGGGGCTATAATTCAGGAAGTTACGGTCCGATATGCGCGAATATTGAAAGGAACCGAGATCTTTAGGGTCCACAACCTTGATATACCATATTTTTGCGCTAGTTGAGAACAAACGGCGGCCATTTTGTCTGTCAATTTTGGGCCAATTTTCACGAAATTCGAATTGAATCGTCCTTAGGGTGTAACGGTCATATAATAATACGTTTTTTTTAAATCGGATAAAAATTATGACTTCTATAGGGTCCACAAGCTAAAAACGCGATTTTTCGTACAATCGGGCCATAATTCAAGAAGTTATGGTCGGATATGCACGAATATTGAAAGGAACCGAGATCTTTGTGTATAAAAATGGACAATCTTGCGGTGTGATTTTCTAGCCTAATACACTTTAACAAATGCTTTTTTTTGCACTAGCACTAAATCCAGATGTGAACTATTTGTACAGCATGCATGTAAAGTTTATATAATTGTGCACTCATCAACTCAAGCTAATAAAATTCACTCACCATTTTCTTTATTTCTCTCATCCACGATTCTTTAACACTCTTTCTTACTTTGTCGTGTTCTGCTCTTCTAGATGCTAGAGGCTAAAAAAATCAAACATTAGGTTGGCAGGCAACAAAACATATGCCCAAATATTGAAGATCAAAGCTTGTACCTTGTCCAACTACGGACTAGTGGAAATAAATGCCGGGCTAGTGTCTGACAGTAGATTACTAGCCCTGGGCTATTTGATTGCAAAATTTTTTTATGCCCCTGAATCAAGTCAATATTTAAATTCATACGTAATAAAAAATAGATGCACCTGGTTATTTTTCATATTTAATTTCTGTACAGAATACAAATTTATGTCAGTAATATTCCTACAAGATAGTTTGCCAGGCAATGAAACATATTATGCCCACAGCACCTTAATCGTCCGGGCAGTCAACAAGAGTTGTCGCATATTTTTACTTTTTTCGGTAATAAAACAAGACCCACAAATAAACACATCGTAATATCTGACTATCGTACGTGAAATTGGATTTTTGACAACAAAATTGAACACCTTGCGTAACTGGACACCTTGACTAATTTTAATCACGGCTCGGGAAACTGAACGGTTCAACTAATTATTGATCAGTCGTAACAATTAAGTAAGACACTTATAATTAACCATGTGTCGACAAACAAAACATTAGTTAATTAGATGCTTCGTAATCAAAATTAAATGCAGAGATTTAAATTGGATACCAGTACAAATTGAACAAACAGCAGTGAGGCTGATATTCCCCGCTGAAATCCCGAAACAAATAGATGACAGATATTAATTAATTGCACACTTATCTGTAGCGGGAAATGTTAATTATTGAACTCAGTCAAGACATTCACCTAATGAACATTAACATCATGTTTAAACATTCTACTTCAATTAAAAGCAGCAATGTATGCTCCAAAGTCTTGACCAATCAAATTGCTTAACGCACCTTAGCCTAAGCAGAAAATTTTCATCAAACTTAGTCAAGATCATGATATAATGAATCTATACTCCGAGTTTCATAGATCTCACTTAATTATAACCAAAAATATCATGCCCAAAAGCATCAACCAATCAAATTGCTTATCTTTGCTTACCGTAAGCAGACAACTCCATCAAGGCATTCAACTAATGAATGCCTACACCAAGTTTGAACATTCTAGCTCAATTAGAAAGAGAGTTATTGTGTCCCAAAGAGTGTGACGGACAGACAGACAGATGGACGGACAAACCCACAAACTAGGTCATTTTGGGACTAACACATGGTTCAATTTTATTTCAACAATTCACTTGCGCGTAGGCGTCTTTAGCAGTGAGAGGAAAGCGGAGGACCCGGAAAAAAACCCATGAGGTTAAACAGGTGACCTTAGTCCTTGCCAAATACAACTGGGGAATCGAAACCACGCCAGTTGACTCAATAACAGACCTAATGATACAGTGCACACATGCTAACCATTTCCGTCCACCCCTCGATTAGAAGGAGAGTTATTGTGTTTCAAAGTCTCAACCAATCAAATTGCTTATCGCTCTGCTTACCCTCAGCAGAAAATGTTCATTATCGAACTTAGTCCTGGTATTGATGTCATGAAACTATACACCAAGTTTCATCACTCTCACTGATTTAGAACTAAAGTTATCGTGTCCCAAAGCATCAACCAATCAAATTACTTATCTCTGCTTACCCTAAGCAGAAAAATGCTCATCTTCGAACTCCATCAATGCATTGACCTAATAAGACCTACACCAAGCTTGAACATTCTAGCTCAATTAGAACAAGAGTTATTGTGTTCCAAAGTCTCAGCCAATCAAATTGCTTATCACTCTGCTTACCCTGAGCAGAAAATGCTCATTATCAAACTTAGTTAAGGTAATGATGTGATGTAACTATACACCAAGTTTCATCACTCACTTAATTAGAGCTAAAGTTACCGTGTCCCAAAGTATCAAACAATCAAATTGCTTATCTCTGCTTACCCCAAGCAGAAAATGCTCATCTTTAAACTCCATCAACGCAGTGACCTAATAAACACCTACACCAAGATTGAACATTCTACCTCAATTAGAAAGAGAGTTATTGTGTCCCAAATAGTGTGACGGACAGACAGACGAACCCATTTTAATAGTCCCCTGCTTTCTTCGAAGGACAGGGACAAAAATTGAGATACTGATGTGTGTCTGTCAGTTTATAATACATATCAGTTTGAATTTGTCCATTCGGTAAAAGATTCACCGTGACATCAAGAAAGTTTAGTTTTACTTTACTAGATTCAACAGTGAATTTAATGTCGACATCTAGACTAATCTAGAGTTTAGTGATCGCTGTATCTGTATTTTACAAATATATATATTCAGAAATATTAAAACAACTGTAAAGCTGCACTACTTTGTTTCACGTTAAATGAAGAGAAAATAAAAGATATACCGACACAAACTGATTTCAACACTGGTTTAATAACATTTTAAAGTAGGTAGATAGAGGTGGGCGATTTCACCAGTTATCCCGTTTAGCAGTAACTAGTTTCGTTCAGAATTGAACTCTTCAGACTGATTTATCTCACTTAGTGAGGTTCTATATATACTGTGAGGAAACCCTGGTGAGATTTCACCGGGGTTTGTTAGTTTTACCGGGGTTTACAATACCGGGGTTTGGTATTTTACCGGGGTTTCGGAATTGACCGGGGTTAATGAGAGATTATTTTTGGTGGGGTTTACCGGGGTTGGTGTGTGACCGGGGTCTACAGATATGAGTATGCCCAAATAAACTAAGGAGAGTAGGGGGCAAGGAAAAACCGCATGCAAAAATAAAAGGGGTGTGTGTATGGGGAGAGACGGGAAAGGGAAAGGGTCTAGGGAAGACCACAGAAGGGGGGTGGTAGGACTAGGAAAGGCAACAAGAAAGTACGGTCTAATAAAAAGTTTAATTAAGGCCCAAGCCAGATAAAAATTGAGAGTTAAACAAATCACTGGCGGAAAGCTGGGTGGAGAGGAGGGTGTCCTCTAGAAAGGCGTCTTCTAGGCCTGGTTGGATCGGGATCCTGAAACGGGAATCTAGGTACTGGTTAAGGTTGTTCCAGATGTCGCTCCCCCTTGTGGCTAAGGTGGTCCAGTTTTCCCCTCCGATTTGGTTTGGGGATGTGTGGAAATCCCAGTGGCTGAAGGTTGGGAACGGAGCGCCGTTGATATACGTAGAGCTATTGCTACGGCTAGGAGTTTAAGAGATTCTTTCTGGTGGGAATCCTGTGGTGACGACTGTGGTAGTCGAAAAGGAAATACTCGGAGGCCCTTGGGCGGCGACTGTGGCAGACGAAAAAGAGGCGCTCGGTGGTCCTTGTGCGAGCTCCCCGATGGTTTCTTGTATGGCTGTCTGGAGGGTATCTGTCTTGGTGGACTGGTTTCCCTCATCATTAGGAAGGTTGCCTTTGCATTTGTGTTTAGTTCGGTATTCCTTCCTACAGAAATCCTTCCCGCAATTGATACATCTGAAGAAAATGGGATGGTGTCGTTCCCTGGCGTGTTGCAGGACATGGCATCGTTTGGAAAAAACTTTTCCACATTCTTCACAAGCTTCCATTATGGTTGTAAGGAAACGATTGTTATGACGTAAAGTAGGTCATTGTGACGTAAAGTGGGGCGGCATATACGTTAAAGAGTATTTAAGGAAAAGAAAGGGTGGAGGTTAAAGACGAACCCCCATAAAGAAGATGGGGGGGTAGAAAAGAACCTCCCGTGAGAGGTGAAAGGGTTGGTAGGCTAAAAAATCCAAAGTTGGTACACCCAGTGGAGGGGTTGTAAACAAAAGAAAAAAATAGGGGGATGCCCAAGTTCAGATTTTGTCATTGATACCGTGTGGTTGGAAAGTTTTCAATCTAATGATCCAATGAAGTTCAATGGCGCGTCTATTGGTGGTAGATTTTTGTAGGTCAGGATTGGTACCCAATTGTTTAATTATTTGGTAGTCAAGGTTTCGACTAGAATGGCTCGGTAGGTGGAAGTGAGAGGCAACTGGGGTGTCTCTCTTATGGGTGATATCAGCATAGTAAGCGGGAAAAGTTACAATTTTCTAGAATCCACTTGTAACTATCCCCAATGCAATTACTGTATCACGCTTAGAGGAAAGAAAACCTTTCACTCCAGCAAAACTGGCAAATCTTACAATTGCAACAGCAATTACACTTGCCATAGCCGAAACGTGATCTACCTGCTTACTTGCAATCTCTGTCTCAGTCAGTATGTAGGAGAAACAAAAAGATTGTTTAGAATTAGACTTAAAGAACACTATGCTGATATCACCCATAAGAGAGACACCCCAGTTGCCTCTCACTTCCACCTACCGAGCCATTGAACTTCATTGGATCATTAGATTGCAAACTTTCCAACCACACGGCATCAATGACAAAATCTGAACTTGGGCATCCCCCTATTTTTTTCTTTTGTTAACATTTTAAAGTACTTTTCGTCCGTCTTGGGACTATTCATAAATAATGTCATTGTATAAAGATGGACAGTATAATACCGTATTTTTCGGTGTATAAGGCGCATGCGTAGATAAGGCGCAGGGCGACTTTGGCAGAGGTGTTTCAGGAAAAAAAAAATATGCGTGGCTTAGGCGCACCCTTTCCCAGCGCGTGTGAAACTCGTGCCATAACATATGTGACTCAAATCCACCTGCGATCTCCAGTAACTAGGTCAAACTCTATTGTTTACAGTTATAATAATTACCGATATTTAGCCGTATCAAGCTTTATATAATTATATTTCTTTATGAAATAAATTGCTTTTGTTACATTTGTTTATATTAATTATAACATGCAATTGCATTATTGCATAACTTTCAGCTGTAATTCTGTTGCTCGTACGGTAGTGAAATTGTCATTCAAGTCCCGCCCACAACAAACATGGCCGTCTATTACATCGTGTTAAATTCGTGAGTAATTGTCTGTGATAAATGAATCGGTTTTGATGATAAACAAATTAAATAATACCTGTAGAAATAATATATCATGATCAGCTACTCACAACTTAAATCCTGACTACCGGTAAAAGAGAAACAACAATTCCAGTTTACTCCAA